CAGACACTGGACAGACAAATGTTCCTGCTGCCTGAAAGATCCGAAAGCCTCTGCAGCACTGACTTTGCTACCACCACCTAAATCCCTGCTCTCATGCCTTGATGGCACTGATTAGGGAAGACCAGGTTCTATCCGTTGAGGCCTCCAGAAGCCTACGGTCAAAACAAAAGTGAGTGAAAAAAATCAATGACTTTTACGGCCAACAGCAGGACTAAATATTCCATTATCACCCAACTTGTTGCCTCTTTGACCACTCACCAAATCCAACTAATGGGGCTACTGGTACATCTACTGCAAAAAGATTTTGCCAGAGCAGATCTGTGAACTTGGAGGACATTTCATCAAACATGAATTTTTATACACATCTGAATGTTCTATTCCTTTGCTGGACCAGATCTGCTGTAAGTTTGGGAACAACGATCTCCTTTGCTCCCAGTCACCTGCCACCATTACTCGAGCCACTGGCTCTCGGTTTGATACTATCTCTAACTGCACCCTGAGAAGAAAAGTGGTGAATTTTTCAAATGGAAAAGACCAAAGACAAATTATTGGAGATTTTGCCAACATACAAGCCTCAATAGACACACTGCAAGACCAAACAGACTCCTTGACTGCAGTTGTTTTCCAAAATTGAAGAGCCCTAGATCTCCTGACAACCCACTATGTAGGTACATGCCTATTTCTAGAGGAGGAATTCTGTAATTATTCTGACAAGTCGGGAATAGTAAGGAAAAACTCAGTCAGCTATGGGAATGCCTCAAACACAGGATTCCAAATCTTGTAAGAGGCACTTCCTGGTGAGGATCTTTTAACTTTCTCCTCTTCCTGACGAGAGCCATACTGGAACTCTTGAAGGCTATTCTGTCAATTCTTTTAGGCCCTTGCATGAGCTGTATCCTAACATGCTTCTTATACAGTCACATAAAAGCTATACACCACCAACTCCTTTTACAAGTTACTTCCCTTTACCAGTTTCATAGTGCTAAAGAGACGAGGGAAACTGAGGAAGAATATTCTCCTTTGTAGCAAGATCAAGGAGGAAATGTAAGGGAACAGTATATAATTATTAAAGATATAATTATAGAATAAGAAGCCTATAGACATGTGATAGCATGTCAAAATCAAGTAGTACCCCCTAGTTTTTAAGCTATACATCACCAACTTGTTTTACAAACTACTCCCTCTTTATCAGCTCCTTACTACTGAAGAAACTGGGAAGATGGTTCTCCTCTATAATAGAACAAGGAGGAATGTTGGGACACAATTATAATGTAGGAACACATTTATAAATAGCAAATTTATATATATCTCATAATCAATTGAAGTTTCTGTTTCTATTCTGCTGTTTCTGTTGAATTCGATTGACCTTGCCAGTGTCTACAGCCCTGCTGCATACCTCTAATTAGTGCTGAGTCACAGTAATTGTCTACACCTTAAGGAACCTGGGCGAATTCAAGGGCCTCTCCCCAAAAGGTTCCTATATTCTGGTAATGCCTTTCACTATGCTCACTCTGTAAGGACCCCTTCCATTGTTGCCAGAGTATTTCTGTATAATGATAAAAAAAATTCCTTTGTTTTAGGACCAGCCTGGCTGTCAATATTCGACTCAGTGTGTGCAGCCAGTTATGTAACATTTTGTCACTTGCTTTGTACCTCCCATTCTAAATTCTATACAAATTAAACTCTTTCTAAATTCCGTGCTGTTGCCTTTGAGGAATTATCTCACAACAGTCTACCAGCATGAAGATCCAACAGTCTACTGGTGTTAAGATTAAAAGCTGACTTCTTGTCTCCTCAGGGAAAATCAAATATTAGCCTCTGCTTATGCTTCTGTTACCTGTCATGTAAACACTCTGCTTTTCTTCTGATAATGCACTCGGCCAATTTGACTGTTTAGCTTGTGTTTTGCTTAGTGAAAAGAATGTATTGCTTCCAACTGACTTCAAGGACTTTGGTTGGGGTGAAGTAACTCACTCAAGGACACTTTTTAACTTTGCTTGCTCTGCTTGAACCTACACACGTTGTTCCAGAATGTTCCATGTATGTTATGACAAAAAAAAATTCCTTTTAAGCGAATGTATTTAGAGTAAGTTTGCCAGACAATGTATGACTTAATCCAATCCGGGTAACCAATCATGTAATGGCTTGCATTTCCTGCTGTAAACTACATTTAAACTGTACTGAAAGCTAGTGCTTGGGTAGTGATTTGTACCTTGTGAATTGAGCCACCAGAATTACAATTAATAACACAATAAAGCGTCTTCTCACTCCTCGGTGCAAAGAGTTTTCCATGGTTGGATTCTAGTCTTTTTCTGCAACATTAGGACTTTGTCAACTCTTAGAAACGTACTAAAATGCTTTATGTGTAAATGGATGTGAGTTTTGGGGAGAGCCTAGGGTGGGATTTTAGTTTGTGTTTAGATGTTTCCCCAAACCTTCATGCAGTCATGGGGGACAGGCTCCTAAAGTTTGTGGCTGATTCATGATCCAATGTTGGGATTATGGGTGTGAGTGCAACAGACATCCTGGGACAAGTAGTGTGGCTCTGGTTGTTTTTCTGTCTTCTACTACCATGAATTGTTGCCCCTCAGCCATGCTACTCTGCCTTGGAGCCAACTGAGTATGGACTAAAACCTCCACAAACTGTGAGCTAAATAAACATTTCCTTTATTAATGTTACATGTCAGGTATTTTGTCTCAGCAATGAGACAAAAATATCCAAGACAACTCTATTTTCTTTAACACTAATTTATTCAAAAATGAGAATCATTACTCAGTTGTCTACCATATGCTAGGCAGAATCTCAATCTGAAGAAAATGTCTCTACTTTAGCAACCCATAGTCTACTACAAGAGGAAGACAGAGATACTCACAAAAGTATACTGCTCTCATTTGTTTAGAAAGCAATAATGGAAATTTTACACAGCATGAAAGAAGCCAGGAGGAGGTCATGAACAGTGATGCCTGGGGGTAGGTGAACTCTCCCAGAGGAGAATGCATTAAAGCAGAGTCTGGATGGGTGATTAGAAGTAGGCTTACAATTGGGCAAATCTGCAAGCGATGGAGACTCCTTGTGAAACAAGGCTCCTACAAGCCCAGCACTTTATCCCTGGTATGAATTACATAGTCTCAGGTATTTCGTTATAACAATAGAAAACAAAGAAAAACAAACTTAGACATTACCCTACTCTTTTCTCTGTTTTCATAAGCAATTTCTCACCCAGTTATATTAATTTGTTTGTAGGGAATATATCTAATCCCTGTTCTAGTTCTATTACCTAGTGTCCCTACTGAACTGTTGCAACATTCACCTGTTTTTCACCAGGAAGGTCAAGCCTTGTCAAGGAGTCAACATTTTCCTTATTTAAAGTAAAGAGAGCATGAAGCTCCTGTGTACGGTGGAGTGTTAAATCCTACAGAAAACAGCACTGGAAAGTTCTTAGAAAATCACTGGAAAAATCCTAGGGCAGTGATTAGAGAAGATGAGTTGGTTAGTTCTGGCTTCCAATTCAAAGATGATTCTTTTACTTAGTGAATTGGAACACTTTGCATTTGATAGGAAAATATTGGATAAATAACTTTTTTTACAACCATTTGTCTAAAGTTTAAGGATCTCAGCTGTAAAGTGAAAGTGATAAGTCACAGTCTATGTTAAATTTAAGTATTTGAATAGGAAGGTAAACATCAGTGTCTTCCTCCCTGCTTCCTGGCGCTAGCACAGTGCCCCATGTGCACGGGTACTGAATGAAACACTCCTTCATTGGCCCCTTCCTGTACTGGATGCTGCTCCTTTAGCTCCTTTACAACCATCATAGTTTCCTATAATTTTAATTTTTTTCTGTCTTCTCTGTGGAAGCCCTGTATACTCCACTAATTTATTCCCAACATTTATAGTACAAATATGGCAAAAACTAACTTGTGAATGAGTAATTGATGGATGACTATATTTTGCAGAGAGTTGTCTTTGTGCTAACACCAAGAGAGAGGTTGTAAAGACTTTAACACAGGTGTAAACAGTAAATTACTACAAGCACTATGGGAATCAGTATAGAGTCCTAAAAATATTAAAAATAGAAATTCCATTCAGTCCAACTATTTCCTTTCTAGCTATCTTCCAGAAAGAGTTAAAGACCTCATAACACAGTCACATATACATACACTCATGTTTATGACAACACAATTTATAATAGCTAAGTCCTATATGTCCATCAACAGATGACTGGATAAAGGAAATGCAGTATTTACACATGGTGGAGTATTAATATGCCATAAAGAAGGATAAATTTGAATTATTTGTAAGAAAATGTATGCATCTTGAGACAATAATATTAAGTGAAGCCATGCACACCTGTAATCCTAGCACTCAGGAGACTGAGGCAGGCGGACTGTTGCAAGTTCGAGACCAGCCTGGTCTACAATGTGAGTTCAAGGCTAGCCTGAACTGCAAAGCAAAACCCTGTCATAAAAAAGGACAAATATATATTAAATGAAATAAATCAGACACACAAGCTTAAATATCACAATTTCTCATGAGAACTCCAAAGAAAAAATACAGTACCTTAACAAGCAAAATAAAAGACAATAGGAAATAAGGACATATCTAGGACCAAGAGATGGGGTGGAGGAAAGAATGGAGACAGAAAGTAAAAAAGATGTGTTGTGTACATACAGGTATCAACTCCCCATTATGAATGTAATCATTATGTACTGCAAACATACACAAACAAGTTTAATAGATACAGGGACAGGCTCCTGCAGTAGTGAACAGGATTCTCAGAAGCACATGAGTCCTTCCACTTGATTGATTCAATTTCCATCCAAAGGAAATTCAAACCATCGGATTCCCCAAACCCTAAATGTACAGCCAGCTCTAGCAGATGGCAAACTGCATAAAGCGCATGACCTCCACTTCCCTAGAGGGCGCTGCACAGACTTGGGGGCCCAAACCATATCTCCTATGCCTTCCGCCCCGCAGGGCTCCATAGTTCCTGTGACGCATTTCCGTTTGCCTGAGCCGCGCACGTGCGTCCTGAAAGGAAGTAACGTCAACCGAGAGCGCTGAGCCGGACACCTCGGAGAAGGAGTTTGTCTGCCAGTATGTCTCACTTGCAGATGAAACTCCTGCGCAAGAAAATCGAGAAGCGGAACCTCAAATTGCGGCAGCGGAACCTAAAGCTACAGGGTGAGTCGCGATCGCTGAGCGGCGGGCGCGGGTTGGGAGACCGCAGAGCGCGAGCGACCTGGGGCCGAGCCTCGCTGCTGCTCTTTCTCCGTGTGGCCCCAGGTCGGCGTCTGCCAGAGGAGCATCCGTCCCTAATCCACGACCGCAGATCTAAAGGTTAAGGGTTGCCTTCCAGAGTCATGGCCGGGCGTCCATCTCAGCTCGCCTTTTGCACCTTTACCGTGGTCCTTGTGGACTCGCTCACCGCCTTTGGGTTCGCTTCTTCCTCCTTCCCTCCCCATCCTACACCGTGGGGGAACTTTTATCCCGGCGCCTCTTGCGGGCACGTCTTCTGTTTAATTCCTCTGTTCCTTCCCCCAAAGGCTTAAGAGCCGCTCTCTTTCCTGAGCATCGCGCGCGTTCTCGATGACTCTAGCACTTCCTTGTTTTCAGCTCTTAAGCTGTCATCTGCGTGGATGTTAGCCCTTTCTGCCCTTGTTCTTCTTACTCTTTGCTGCAGGTTCTTAATTCCTTAAGAGTGTCTACATATTCGTGTTTTGCAGAGTGACTTAAATCGAAAGGATGTTACCTAAGTAGCGCCTTTCTTAGCTCATTTGGTAGTCCTAATTTCCTGACAGTGGACGGGAAATCTTGACGTGATGTGTGGAGGTTCCAAATTTCCTTGGCCCGAGTGATTTGCAACAGACTGTTAATCAAATGAAAGAAATCCTGGAGTAGGCAATAGGCTTGCGGGGTTTAGGGCTGTGTTTTGGAGTTCCCTTGTATTTCTAGTCCGTGTAGAATAATTAACATGACTAAGTGCCTTTTGAATAGGCATAGCTAACAATCTGAACAAAGGTGATGTTCTTATATTTAGTAACTTTATGTAGACAAAACTTGAGTAAGATACTCTAGTGTATTTGTATATGAAAATATCTAACAAATAATCTAGTTCGTTAAATTTTCAATGCACTGCATTCTGGAAGAGTTGAGATTGAATTTTGTGCTATTACATGTTAGTGGTAATTGTATGAATAAGATGGAAATGTCTTGAATTAATTATGTTTATCAAATACTTAAGAATATTTTTGTTACTGCCATTGTCTAGTCTCATAAACTTTTTTAACCTCACTGAAGTTTTCCTGTCCCAAATTCCTTGGAAATAGATAGGATCTTTTGAAATTATGAAATCAATGTAGCTTTCCTTTTTCCATCCAATATTTTTGCTTAAAGAAAGCTTACTTTTAGTTACTTAAGAACACCAAAAGTTACAACTAATTTGAACAGTGAACATGAAACTGAAAAAAATGTAAAATGGTTTGAGCCATGCAGTTTTTCATCTACGATTCTAATGTTTCTGAAGAAGCCTTCCCTTTATCGTAATGCATGTTCTGTTTTTAAGCAGGAGCTTCAAATGTGAGCCAACCAGAAACTCAAAATGGCATGGTGCCCGAAGAAGCAGCAAGAGTTGAAAAAAAAGTTAAAAAATCCCTAAAGCATCCTAGAGATGTGAGCTTGTCCAAAGCTGAAAATGGAGATGTGTCTGAAGAAAAGGGGCAAGCTGGAAAAGTTAAGAAATCTGTAAAACTTTCTGGTGTTTCCAGCTTGCCAGAAGCTCAAAATGGAAATGAGCCTAAAGAAACAGGGAACGTTAAAAAAGTTAAAAAATCTCAAAAACATCCTTTGAATGCAAGCTTGTCAGAAGCTCAAAATGGAGATGAACCTGAAGAAACAGTGAAAAATGTTAAAGTTCAAAAGTCCCTCCAGACATCTACCTCATTAACCAATGGAGAAGCGACAACAGACTTGGCATCAAAACAGAAAAAGAAGAAAAAGAGAAAAATGGTGAATGATGCTGGGCCTGGTAAATCATTTTCTTTGGATTTCAGACAGTTTCTCACAGTTACCATCCACTGTCCTGTTATTACTGGTTTCATATGACCCACAGGAAGTCTTTGGGCTGGTCAGTATACCAGAGGTTAGCAGTGTATGTCTTCGGCAGTTAGCTGGGCTTTTTAATGCTAAACAAAACCATCCTATGGCATAATATTTTAGGTTTCTGTATTTGCAAGCAGAATTACCAACACTGAAGAGAGCTAGTAAGGATCCCTCTGTGTCAAGGGACTTGACTTTTTAATGTTTTTCACTTAAATCTTTTTTTTTTTTTTTTCTTTTTCCTTTTTATTGGTACCAGGGATCGAACTCACGACTGCTTGCAAGGCAGGCGCTTATGCCGCTGAGCTAAATCCTTAGCCCCCTCACTTAAATCTTTGCCCTCCTTTCCTTCCATTTTTGTACCATAAATTCTTCCCCACTTAGAAACTTAGTTGCAATGTCATTTAAGAACATTCTAAACAAATAAAACAATTTCCAAGTGAGTAGAATAGGCAGGATAATGATGAGGGAGGGGGAGAAGGAAGAAAGATGATTGAATTTAACAAACTCATGTGAAGGGGTGAGTATCTTGAGATACGGCAAAGCAGAGATTTCCAGGTAGGATGGCATAGGAGTCAGCAAACTCTGGCCTTCCATCTGTTTCTGTTAAATAAAGCTTTATAGGATCATAGTTATGCCCATTTTTTGGCTGTGTTTTTAATTACGGAGGAGATCATGTGCCCTGCAGTACTCAAAATATTTATTAGACCTTTGTGAAAAGTTTGCCATCCTGAGTTAGAACATCCTATAGATGTATTTTGTCTGAAGTAAATGTTTCATTTAGAAAAGAACTATATAAAGTTTTCTAAACGTGTGGCTGTTTTCATGCTTACTACAGAGTAATAAACTGATAGGTTATGAGAAATCACTTAAGTGAAGAGTAAAACAAGGTAGAAAATATGATGATTGAGAGTTAATTTTGATTTGAAGGGACTGATTTTACTCTAAAATTATTAATGGTTTCAAAAGTGTTGTAAATACACTTTAAAGAAAGTAACATTTCTACTCTCAAGCACTGAAATGACGGTACTGGGTTTTTAACCTGTGAGTGAACTTTAAGCACTATTTTAAGAAAAGCAAAAGTAATAAGCCGGGGTGCAACTGATGACATCCTTGGCTTTTGAATATGTGTACCTTCGAAGTGACCATTTCCCAAAAAGAGTTGCAGTAAGATACAGTGTCAAGACTACCTGGACTACAGTCCTGATTTTTGATTTAGATAATTTCTGTTAAATAAGCACCATAAATTTGTACAAAAGCCTTACATGGTGGTAAACTCTTGTTCCAGAAGGAACCTTCAAGAGAATCAGAAAGGTACTGTAGTCTGGGACCTTGTGGTGAAAGTTGGGCATTATAGAAGTAGAACTAGGAGGCCCCAGTCTTCCTTCCTTACCACTTAAAAGAGCTAGAAGCAGTCTAGTATCTTACGACCCAGCTAGATAACATCATTGCCTTTGCTTCACAGTCTGTCTTTAGGAACATAAAATGCCTGCTATTTACAAAAATTGCTTTTAAGGAAAATTGACAAAATGGCATGACCATGAAAATAAGGTGTTTTTTAAAATTATGCTAATCAGATGTATTGTTTGTATCTCAGTGTAGTAGATTGAAGTCATAATTAGTATTCTTGTATAGTTTAGTTGAACTTCTAAGTTGTTTAAAAATAAGATGATGCTTTATTTATTTATTTAGTACTGGGGATTGAACTCACAGCCTTCCACTTACCAGGAAAGCACTTGAACCACCCAATAATTCAATTTATTAAGAAGCCTAAAAAGCATTGGCAAGTCTGTGGGTACCCAGAGTTTTAAATACGACCAAATCTCTCTTGGAAAGGCAACATTCTTAACAAATTAATGTTGAATAAGTTTCAGAATGTATACTGATTTGTGACAAATCATTTGTTGATCTTATTCAGTATTTTCATTTTAAGAAAAACAATTTGTTTTGTCCTTCAAAACCAAAGATACAAAAAAGGCAAAAACTGAAGAAAACACCAAGACTCCTGGACAAATAAAAGATGGTGTGGGAAAGTCAGATGGTGAAGAAGGTGACAGCGAAGTGCCCAGCCTGCCCCTGGGACTGACAGGTACCATCTGGGGAGGTCCAGATTCATCTTCTGAGAGGTATCATCTCTCTCTGAGTGTAGAGTTGAAGGTTCAGGTGTGACCAGTAGCTTAATGGAAGAAATGTTTTTTATGTCTCTGCTGCTTTTTATCCTCTTTGTCTTCTACCTTGTGATACCTTAGTACTTTTTGTTCGTTCTCCTCTTTTTCTTCCCTCCACTTCTGATGTTTAAATATTTTTAATGTAGACGCAGCTTCTGAGATACTGTTTCTTTGCTTCATATTAGGAAGGTTGGGGGTTGACTGTCACAGTGTCACCCAGGCTGGCCTCCAACTTGCAGTCATTTTGCCTCAGTCTCCCAAATAACAAGCTGCAGACATGTGCCACAGCACTAGACTAGTTTATCCTTCACTAAGACTCATTCTGTGTTATTATAGGAAAATTTTGGGTTCAGAAATCTGGGTACCAGAAACTCAGTTACAAATAAAGGAATGATGAAGGGCTGACCTTTGCAAAATTAACCTCCTTGGGCCTTGTTTTATTTATAAAGTCAACAATTAAGAATTTGCTCTTCCAAACCAGAAGTTTTTAGAAGTAGCTTGAGCTGTGCTTTAGCTTGAGCCATTTTGTTTTTATTAAAAGTGTGAAGGTCCAGCCCCAGGCATGCTTAATCAGAATTATGAAGGTTGATGGGTACTGTAGCTCATTGATAAAGCACTTGCTTAGTATGCATGAAGCCCTAAGGTTGAGCCTCAGCACTAGAGGGGAAAAATTACCTATCTAAAAATGTCATTTCTTATATTTCTCAGCTAATAAAAATTTAGCAGTAAACTTACTGTAAATTGAAAACGTAAGTAAAAAGTAGGTTTAGTATACCTTACATCATAACCCAGCCTATCTCAAACATGCTTAAAACTCTTTAACATTAGCTTTCACTTAGGCAAAATCACCATAAAGCCTGCTTTGTTAAATAAAGTGTTGAATATCTCACGTAATTTATCATATACCGTATCAGAAGTAAAAAGCAGAATTGGTTGCATGGGTATGTTTTCACACCATCGTAAATTTGATATGTTGTAGGTTGAACCGTCTGTCATAAGTTTGTCAGTTCCCAGTTAATGGCCTGGCTGTGGCAGAACGGGGGCATTCCCAGGGTATTTTGATTCTTTCCCCTGCTGAAAGACCACTGTACCACTTGAAGTGTGAATTTGTTCTACTATTCTGTGGCTGTATCCAACTCTTCTCATTGTCTTTGACATTGACTACTTTTTGGTCGATCTTAAATCAGTCTTTATTATACATAATGTTTTCACGTTGATGTCAGATTTTGTAAGCGTTTCATTTCTTTTTTGCTATGTTTTAACCTCCTTTATTTTCAGTTTGTGTAAATACTTTGGTTTTAAGTGCTCTGTATTCCTTATTTTTAAGGAGCTTTATATCACAAGGCCGTCAGCAGTGGAGAGATTTCAAAAAATGTAGAATTTTTTGTTACTATCACTTGGGAATGATTGGGGTTTTGTCTTTTATAAAAAGCTCTTTTTAATCAAAACTAATTTAGGCAACTAACAGTATTGACTTTTAAAGATAAGTTTGCTGATGATAAACAATCTTTTCAGGAGCTTTTGAGGATACTTCTTTTGCTTCCCTAATTGATCTTGTCAATGAGAACACTCTGAAGGCAATAAAGGAAATGGGTTTCACAAACATGACTGAAATTCAACATAAAAGTATCAGACCACTTCTGGAAGGCAGGTATGATTAATAATGATGGTTGGGCATTAATGGCTATTTTAGGGTTGTGAGATTGTAAAGAAAATATCAGTATGTTGTATTCCACAGTGTGTGTTAGGTCATGTATTCAGCTGTATTGAAAGCTTCAGGTTGTCTGATTCATGAAGAAAAGCGTCCACTTCTCTGTAGTGCGGTTCTCATCTCTGAATTCAGCTTATAAACCCAAGGGGATAGTGTTGGTGTTAGGGGAGGCACAGACTGGGTCTTCATGTTCTAGCTTAGTGCCTAAAGCATGTGGGTAGTTCATGTTGAGTGTTCATTAAGTAATTACTAAATGAGTATACCCCCCCCCACCTTTTTTTTTAATTTAGGGATCTCTTAGCAGCTGCAAAAACAGGCAGTGGCAAAACCCTTGCATTTCTCATCCCTGTGATTGAGCTCATTGTTAAGTTAAAGTTCATGCCCAGGAATGGTAAGCTTGTGATCTTTTTCTGTCATCGTATCACGTGAAATTTATTACCACTTTCAAATTTATTACGGCTTGGGTTGACTGACTATCTTCCTTGTTTGCCATTAGGAACAGGGGCCCTGATTCTGTCTCCTACTAGAGAACTGGCCATGCAGACTTTCGGCGTTCTTAAGGAGCTGATGACTCACCACGTTCACACATACGGCTTGATCATGGGCGGCAGTAACAGATCTGCAGAAGCACAGAAACTTGCTAATGGGATCAACATCATCGTGGCCACACCAGGCCGCCTGCTGGACCATATGCAGGTAGGCCGCTGGTACACAGTGCTTCTTGGCAGCTTGTATGAATCGTAAACCTGACAACTGACAATTTTTCTTTCTATTTGTTTTGTTAGAATACCCCAGGGTTTATGTATAAAAACCTACAGTGTCTTGTTATTGATGAGGCAGATCGTATTTTGGATGTTGGGTTTGAAGAAGAATTAAAGCAAATTATTAAACTTCTGCCAAGTAAGTAGATACCATTTGTACGTGGCTTGCAAAGTAGAATAAGTGCTAGATGTTCCTATAGGAAATTGGTTAGCATAATAGCAACTGAAGTAGGTATGTTAGTTGATGTTAAAGCTAAACTAGAATACAGGCATTAGCTTGTTGATTTTCTTTAGCTGTTTCAGATTATAATGCAAGTTGAACAGTCTTAACATATGTCTCATTTCCTCCTCTGACATTTTACCACTTCCTACCTTCCTTGACTTCTCCCAAGTAACCAGTTTAATTGCTTTCTGTGTTATATTTGTGTAATTGACATAGTGAGTTGTTCATATTTAAAAATCTACAATTTTCAATGCTCTTTGGCACGTTTACCCTTTGAAAGCCATCTCTGCAATTGTGACTGTTCTTCACCCTCAGAAGTTTCCTTAAACCCCTGTGCAGTTCCGCCTACTTCCCTTCCTTACACATCGCTGCTCCCAGGAGACTGCTGACCTGTTTACTGTCATTGTGCACTGTCTTGTATACATCTTAGTTATCAAAGTTTTAGACATAAAGTTCATGCTTGATAGTATTTGTTTAGTTCATAGTAATTGTAGAGTGAAGTAATGCAAAAGATCTCTAGAAGACGTGGGTTATTTTCCCATGTCTGTTTCAGTACGCAGGCAGACCATGCTCTTCTCTGCCACACAAACTCGAAAAGTTGAAGACCTGGCAAGGATTTCTTTGAAAAAGGAGCCATTGTATGTTGGCGTGGATGATGACAAAACTAATGCCACAGTGGATGGTCTTGAGCAGGTACTTTCTTAAAATTGGGTGTTTCCTTCTAGTTGTTCAGAAATCACCCCAAAAAGCAAATGGGCTAACTTTGAATTCAAACGGAAGTTGGGTGTTGAATCTCTGACTCTCCTTCTATAAAATGTCATAGATACTGAATAATTTGGTCAGTTCTCTGATACGTTGATGCTGCTTGTCATGTAGGAAGAACTTTTTTGAGACAGGATCTCGCTATGCAGTTCAGGCTGGCCTTGAGCTCACTTTGTAGCTCAGGCTGATCTCGAACTTGCAACAATCCTCCTGCCTCAGCCATGTGAATGCTAGGATTACAGGTATGTGCTACTCCACCTGACTTTGGGAAGAATTATTAATCACTGTCAGGTTTAAATGCAATAATTAGGAAAGGTTTCCTTTAGCCTCCAAAACATTCAAGGTGAGTTGAGTAATGGGAAGACACCTTGGGGTGCATAGCTGTGAACAATAAAAGAGGTGACATAGCAAACTGGATTGAAAAGAAGAACTTCAAGATTGAGTCTTAAGATGAATATTTTCCTAGAAACTTGTAGCATAGAAATTTTCAGTTGGTTTAGTTTTTAAATACTGCAGCAAGGGCTGGGTTAAAAGTTCGTGTCAGAGCACTTGCCTAGCATGTACACAGCCCGCTGTTCCATCTCTAGCACAAGAAGTAGCATCCACCCATGCTTTGGAAATGTCCTGTGGTACAGGGCTGTTTTTGCCAGTGTTCTCCATCAGTATTGATTTATGAACCTGAAAATGTCCCTTGACTGATTGTATCCATTTATGCAAACTATTTCTAGGGATATGTTGTTTGTCCCTCTGAAAAGAGATTCCTTCTGCTCTTTACATTCCTGAAGAAGAACCGAAAAAAGAAACTCATGGTCTTCTTTTCATCCTGTAAGTCCGTGAAATACCACTACGAGTTGCTGAACTACATTGATTTGCCTGTCTTGGCCATTCATGTAAGTGACTGTAAGGAGTTCATTTGTAAGTAAATGAAGTTCTGTAGATTGTGGGATGGAGTCATCAGCCTCTGCTAAAGTGCAGTTTTGAGTCACAGGATTGTGTTGGGTGATCAGTCCTGTGGGGCAGGAGCTCTGCTGCATGTGGGAGGGATATGGACTGCAAAGGCATCGGGCACCATCTTCTCCAGGGTTTGCAGTCCACTTAAGGAAATAAAAGATAGGCCAGGAAGTGAGCTTGAAATAAAGTAGTGTGACAGGTCCACATCCAGAGATCCCAGAAGCCACTCATCATGGATTTTTTTCTTTAGGGGAAGCAGAAGCAAAATAAGCGGACAACAACATTCTTCCAGTTCTGCAATGCAGATTCAGGGATACTCTTATGTACGGATGTGGCAGCAAGAGGGCTAGATATTCCTGAAGTGGACTGGATCGTTCAGTATGACCCTCCAGATGATCCTAAGGTAACTGGCCTCCTGAGGTGTCATCAGCATGGCTGGTGTTAAAGCATGCGCTCACTGTCCTACTTCCCTGAGAAGCACATTGATGTCCGTAAGGATTAGGCAGCCACTCTGCAGAACTACTCTGGAGTTCATTGCCTGGGACATCGAAAGTCCAGGGATGTACAGTGAGTCTGAGAGGTATCAGTGGGTCTCAAGGGAACAGTGTTAGAGCAACAGAGGTCTGAAGGTAGTAACTTGCTTGAGAAGGTAGATAAAATTCCATAACATTTGTAATAGAGTAAGCTTCATTAAGAACTTGTCAGCAAGCAGTGGGCACCAATACATTGACGTTTTTTAAAGCCATTTTGCAGATGAGTTACACTTAGTGTTTATTGATTAGTCACAGTGCTCATGTAATCATGGCATACGGCTGTGGTCATTGAGCTGTTGGTGTTTAGGGCTAATGATGGCAGTGGGCCTTCTGGCCCAGCCCCGCCGAGGACCTGGTGAGGGCGAAGTGAGTAGAGCATACCCTCTCCACACAGATGTGCTGCTGCCTCCTGCCCTCGGGGCACATGCGCAGGGCATCCGTCCCTTTACTCGGGTTTTCTTTCTCCACCGAAGGAATACATTCATCGTGTCGGTAGAACAGCCAGAGGCCTCAATGGAAGAGGGCATGCCTTGCTCATTTTGCGCCCAGAAGAATTGGGTTTCCTTCGTTACTTGAAGCAATCCAAGGTAAGATCCTTGTGTGACGAGTATTAGGTTGGGACAAAACTCCTCTTGGTGCAGTTGCCATTTCTAGATGTGTCAGGAGAGTCTCAGGTTAGGCTGTTGTTGAAAGTCATGTCGCAGGAGAACGTGATTTTTCATGTGTCTTGCCCAGCCCTTGGCTCCATGTTGCTCTCCAATGTCTCTGCCCTATGGCGGGCGGGGGTTTCTCCCCAACTCCTGTAGCCCTGTTGCCACCTCTACTCCTCAGAGTGCCTGGCCAAGAGGTGTTTACCTCCAGCCTTCTCCTCTGTGTCTCCTCCTGGTAACTTTGTTGCTTCCCTTACATGAAGCAGTGGGATCCTCTTCACTTCTGCCTCTGCCTCCTTCTTTACCTCCTTTTGTCCCTTTTTCACTCAACTTCTTCCCTTAACTCTCCCTTACAGTTCATGCTTTACCATCTCATCTCCCTGTAAAGTGTAAATTCAGCCTAAACCCATTCTCCAGCCACTCTTTCCAGGTTAGCTACTGCCTGCAGCTTTTCCCCAGCCTACCTTTTTGGGCAAGTTGATTTACATTTTTCCTACTCAGTCTTCAACCAACTTAATCTGGCTGCGACCTGATTCTACCTCCCAGCACAGAATCCCTTGCCCAGATCTCAAGTGGCTTCTTGGTACTGGACCATGTGGTTGTGTATCAGGCCGTGCCTTCATTACAGTTGCCTCCTCCTCAGCCCTGTGGACACAGGCTTGCTAAGCAGATTTCATCTGCGCTAGGGCTCAGTGCAGTTCCCTGAAGTTTCCCTGCAACTTGTAGCATTGCTCCAGAAGCGGTTTTCCGGGTTCTCCTGAATCTTCTGATTTCCAGCTTGCTGTACCCCAATAGCACAAATTCTCATTGAGTGGTTTCATCGTGTTCCTGTCTTCACAGGACTGCAAGCATGCTCCCTGGGCGGGGCCCAGAACTTGGGCACCTGCTTTTTTTTTTTCCCTTGTAGCTAGCACAAGTCCTGTGCTTTTCTACTTATTTAATAAGTGATGAGCCACGGCAGATTATTCTTGTGGGAGTTTTTGGTCATCATGGACTGTGGTGTCACGAGTTCCATCCACAGTGCACAGGCTGTTGTTAAGGGCTTCAATAACGTGGAGGAAAAGGTCTAATGGTCCATCTGTCTAGCAGCTTTCGGCTGCTTCATCAGTCCAAACAATCAGGGTCATGGAGGTCTCCGGAGAGAAATGCTCACTAACTCAATGTCCCTGTTTGGTTTCTCATCTCCCCATACTAGGAAGAGGTGAGGCTCCTTAGTGCGTTTTATGTGAACTTAGCAGAACAGAGCTAGACCTCTGCATTGGCATGGGGGGGACTGGAGGGAGATTTTACTGCCTGTTCTGAGAGCACTTCTTAGACCTGGGCATCCTTTCATGTCTTTAAGAACTGCTGCACTCCATTAAAACCACTGTGCCTGGCTCCACTCAACTTTCCTACTGGTTATGGACATTTTCACTTTATTTGTTCATCTGAAATGCTAAATGTTAATTATCCTAATTTATTAATCTTTGCTCTTTTGTTGTTTTCTAGGTTCCACTAAGTGAATTTGACTTTTCCTGGTCTAAAATTTCTGACATTCAGTCTCAGGTATGTCTGCCCCACACCCCTTTAGTGTTAACACTGACTTGTGTTTCAGTAGATAGTGCTGTGGTCTGAGACTGCCCTCTTGTAAGATGGGAACTACGCAATGTTATCCTTAAAATTTCTTGTTGTGCTCTCTTCCTTCTCTTAGTCCAAGACTATGAGAATTTAGGGGTTTTTCTAACAGCAGCAACATTCTGCACATAATCCAGAGCCTGATACAAATGTGTAACAGCAACAGTTTTTGCAGGATAAATTTTTCTGTTTGAGGTCTGCTTCTTATGTTTTTTTAAAACTAGTGTTTAGCCAAGTGTGATATCATTCAATCTTAGCACTCTGGGAGACTGAAGCAGGAGAATTGAAAGCACCCTGAGAGACTAAAGCTAGACAGTTTAGCAACTTAGCAAGACCATGTTTTAAAGTTAAAAATAGGGCTGGGGATATAGCTCAATGTAAAGGCCATGTGTTCAAAGGTACAATGTTGCTTTCTATTTCAGCTTGAAAAATTGATTGAAAAGAACTACTTTCTTCATAAATCAGCCCAGGAAGCATACAAGTCATACATACGAGCATATGATTCCCATTCTCTGAAGCAGATCTTTGATGTTAATAACTTAAATCTGCCACAGGTTGCTCTGTCATTTGGTTTCAAGGTGCCTCCTTTTGTTGATCTCAGTATCCTTTTTATAGTGACTAAGTGACCCTGCAACCAAGGAACAAAAGCTTGACGAGGACATTTTGTGCTTAAGAGAAGGTTGGTGTAGGCTTTGGTTGCCAACCAAAGTCCGGCTCATCCTGCATGGACTGCACGGGTGAGGGGGTAGGGATCAATTATCAGGACAGGGTTATAGGAATGAAAGAATTATGACTTAAACCTTAAGAAAAATAGAGGAGTATGACTGTCAGCGAGAGGCAGAAGTAAGTCATTAGTTCCTAGCAAAAGACAGGTGAGGGAGAACTCAGGTGGTTGCTGAGGCTGCAATGTACCAGGAACTTGAAGGAATGGCTAAAAAGAAAGGATGAGATTTTAACTGAATTGGTTGTTAAATGAGGAATGGCATACAGTATATACATTACAATATTTTGAACAAAGAAATGGTTAAAGGAAATTCCAATTTGATGGCATTCCTTTTGTTTTCATAGCTCTTACATGCAGTACTACAAGGGAACATAAAACTACAGTATTGTATCATGTAAGACAGTCAGCAGAAATTACAATACTGTGTAAACAAGGTGTATTATAAAAAAAGACATCAGAGTTCTGTAATCAAGACACAGAACTGTACCAACAAAGAGACAGGTTGTAAGTCCAGTTATTAAATAAGGAGTAACTGTAGAAGTAAATGGAATATTTGACAAAAAAAATATGACTTACGGGTTGCTAAACACAAAAGGTAAAGGGAGTACTTGCAGTTGATTCTGTTGCAATTTACAGTGTATTTATTTACGTGTTTTCAGTGGAAGAAACAGACAGCTAAGAAGAGGTGCATTTTTAATGCTGCAGCAGTACCTCCTAAGGGGACGGAACCAAATTTGTGGCCAGCATCTCTGCTGTAGACATCGTATAGATGTTTATGGTACTTCCTGCCTTGTGACAGGAAACTTTCACTTAGCTGAGCAGTCCTAAGTCGTCTCCAACAGGAGTAGAAGTCCTTTATTATGACACTGAGAGTACTTTATAATGTGTTCTTAGTTCTTTTGTTGAGTGGAGGAAAACTACGATTATTACATTCAGCTTTAAGATTGAAAGCTGTGAGTTGTAGTTTGTAAGCCCATGGCCATGCCTGTTACTGGGCAGTCAGTCACACAAGCTATTAATAGCCTCACATTTCCATTTTGCAAGGCAGGGTGTGGTAGAGGGCAGTGTGCTTGGTGGTTTTTCTGTGTGGTGGTTATTAGATTTCCTTAACCTCCACCTCTAGACGTGAACAGCAGTGACGGAAAGAGCAGAAAGAGAGGAGGCGGCGGTGGATTCGGCTACCAGAAAAGCAAGAAAGTCGAGAAGTCCAAAATCTTTAAACACATTAGCAGAAAACCGTCAGACAAAAGGCAGTTCTCTCACTGAAGAGTAACTCTCCTGAAATGAATTTTTTCCCTTTACAAAAAATTTTTGTAGCCCTTCATGTCTTACTCATCTTTGCTGTGATCATACAATTTTTTAATTTTAAATAGTCCCTGAAAAACTTTCTATTACTGTTTTACTACCAGTGTAATTCTTTGTTTGTACATATCCTTTGTGATACATGAAGATGTGAGTGGCATGAATTGCTATGCAGAGCGACAGAGTTAGACAGGGGTGGCAATGCAGAAGAAAATCTGGGTTTCCCTTTGGTTTTGTGTCATGGACCTCAAGAGTGGTCTGAAGCAACCCCTGAAAGTGCTGCAGTTCAGAAGGGCAGAGCGCTTCAGGAGATAACCAAGAAGCAGCTGTAGGTGAAAAATGGTGTTTCGATGCTCCTGGCTTTAAAACAAAAAGCTTTCCTTTAAAATGAAAGAAAGTAAGAATGGTGATTTTATTTTTAGGTATATTGCATGGTGGTTTGGATTTTGATAAAACCTTCCAACTCTGCAGCATACATAAAAGACAAGGGCAGTTATCAGCAGACTTAAAACCACGTATGAAACAGTACTCTGTGTTGCCAAATTCTCCGAGAGGAAAAAAATGATCTCTTTCAGATCCATGAAACAAAAAATACATGTGTGGTGAAAACTGAAACAGACAGAAAACACAAAACACAGGAATGTGGTTTTTGTGGAGGACCAGTTGATTTTTAGTGAGTTTTGTGTGGTATAAACCTACAAAATAGCTAAATTTAGTAGCAATTCAAACTGCTCTCATGCCGTTTAATATTCAGAGTCCCATTAAACATAATTATGCAGAAGACATCAAGCGTAGAGAAAGGAGTTGGATAAATGGCATTAAATGTGGGAAAAACAGCCTCCACCTCTGCGAGCCCATTGTTATTTTGGCTGTGCCTCTGGATTTCAGACCTTGACTTCGGAAGGCCTGGCTTCTTGGATTCTAAACTCCTGCCATAAAATACCTGTTTCTTCACTACTGTTTGTTCCAGAAACAATTATGTTTCAAAAAATACACAAAAACAAAAGAAGAATCACTAGACAGAAATAATACTGTTGCTATTTTGGTATGTGACCTTCTAGATTTTTATATGCATATTTATACTTATTAATTTTTTATCAAAGTGAAGTCATCCTCTGCCTACTACTTGTAACCATCTTGTTTCGTATTATTTCCCTGTGTCATTAAATAATTGCCTGTGTCATTTTATATTTGATTTCTGACTATGCTTTGTTAACCCTTGCTTGGTCTGCCAGGTTTCAGCTTCCCCAGTACCTGCTGGGCCCCTTCTGACTCTGTCTCAACATATCTAGTTCCCCTGAGGGTCTTGCTTTTGTCAGTCCCCAGATGAGTCAGCCTCCAAAGGTTTCATGAGAAAAGTGTGCTTGGCTTTAGACATTCCAGGGGTACTATATGCTGGGTACTGTGGACTGTGGTGGTGGCAGGGTGATCCAGACTAGGGACATCCAGATAGACCTTCAGTTGCTAGGCCACAGTGCAGATGTGAGGCAGCCTGTACCAGACTCTTACAGGTCAGATACTCAGAATATCATAGGTCAGCATCTGCGAGGCTGACTTGCACACGAAGGGTTCCCTAGGATCCTGGGCTGAGAGCTCGGCTGGTAGCAGATGGGAGCAGGTCACAAGTGAGATTAAGTGGCTTCATCCATGCAAGTGAGAAGGCAGTCAACTCGATTTAGTGTAAGTAAAGCTGGACTCCAGATATCCCAAAAGGGTGTTGTTCTCTCACAGTGTATGCTCAGGACCCCCAGTCCCTGGTCTGTGCTGTGCTACTTGCTGACTTCTCTAGGCCCATTTCATGCAGCAGTGTGTGATTTGTAAGGTGGAATCAAATGAGCTAAACATGGAGTGTAGAGGACAGTGCCTTGCACAGTGCTCTTCTGTAGTTCTCTTTGCATCTGCCAAAAGCAGCCAGGATGGGAACTCATCCCACAGCTTAAGCCTCACAGTGAAGGTATGATTTCTGACAGCCTGGAGCCCCTGAAATGGCTGTTAAGTAAGTTGGTACCACTTTTGAGGCTACTGTAGTTGGAGGCAATAATAATGTCCTTAGATAAATATTCATAATTCATGATGAATTAGAAGCTTGTTGGATGCCAGGAACTGCAGAGAACATAGGCAGGGTCCTTAGGAGGCTGGTTGTGCACTAGAAATCACCAGTTAACACTACTATTTCAAATAATGTGGAAGTGCACGTGTGCATTGCAGCTAGTTGTAGACCTAGAAATCCTGCTTTTTCTTTTGCTTTTTTGTGGGACTGGTGAGTGAATGCAAGACTTTTGCACTGAGTCAGTATATCCCAAGCCCTCTTTTTATCTTTCACCATGGTCTCTATAAGTTGCTAAGTTCCCTAGGCAGAACTCAAACTTGAGATTATCTTGCCTCAGCCTCCCAGAGTGCTGAGATTATAGATGTACCATTCTTGACTTTGCATTTCAAGTTTCAGTGAACAGATTTTCTTGCCCTGTCCTCAGAAGACTGTCTAGGCCTTTGGTGGAGCATTAAATGTAGGTGATGCTCATGCACAGTTAGGTTGAAGAACAACCAGACTGGAATCAGGCACAGCCTCTAAATAAGCTTTTTCTCCTCTGATCTTGCAAAGTGAAGATGCCCAGCACAGGAAGCAATGTGTGACCGTCCACAAGGTAGAGTGGCACTTGGACATGCTTGGATTCTGAAGAGGAAAGCAACTGTGCTTTTGTGTGAATGTCTCCTGTAGGAGAAGCAACCCTAGGCAACCTCTTTGTCCATGGTACTCCTTCCTCCCTCAGCCAAAGCCTGAGGTCCCTCAGCAGTGTTCCATGAATCACTGTTCATTGTCGGCACAGGAGATGAAACCAATTTGTTTTGGCCACATGTCCTTGAAAACTGTTCTCCCTGCCTCTGGAACTCAGTAATTTTGTAGGGAAAAAACATGAACCTAGAAATGGGGTAGGGGGCGTTAGAAACCAGAATGACCTGCTTCTAACTCTTCCAGCCATGAAAATTCAAGATTGAGATGCTTTAATCCAAGAGACTACTTACAGGAGCCATGTTGCTGCACAAGACTCACCTTTCATGCGTTCCAGTGTCCTCAGCAGGGGGCTTCTGAAATATACCAAGGCCAAAGGAGAGCTGTTGCCCTGGGGCCAGCTGGCTCAAAGGCACCTACTACAGAGTTAGAAGAGTGCTACAGCAGGTTCATTTTCTTTACCACAGAGGAAAAGGCAGAGTAGCGGTAGAGTGGGGACATACATGTATCACTGTGTCATGCTTAGTCACACGCTTGGGAAGACGTGGAGAAACATGTCCGACTCGGGCTCTGACTCCTCCAGGCCTCCCAGCCATCCTGGGAAGGACACTATCACCTTCATGATTCAAGGAGGAAGCAAAAGTCAGAAGAGAGTCCACAGCGGCTAGTACGCAAGTAGCCTAAGCATGGATCCAAATGCTTTTCTGCTTGATCCAAAGCCAAGGGCACTTTGCCAGTCTCTGAGAAACTATCCATAGTAGGTTGAAGTGGCGTTTTTGTCCTCCCTTAGTAACACTGCCAGTGTCATACAACACGGCATCTAAGACCCCGATGCCCAGCAATACTAGTGGCTGGGGCAAGAATACAGAAGTTTAGCCGCCAGTCCTGGCTGTTGTTGCAGTAGAAATGGCTGTGGTAGGTGAGAGCATAGGGGCAGCGTCCTTAACTTCAGTCTGCTGATGTGTATTTTCACATTGACTTGAGAGGAAGAATCTAAGTTACCAAAGTGATGGCCATTCTAATCTACAAGCTCAGAGTGAGGGATCTCAGGCAAATGCAGAAGTGAACTGCCGAAGAAAATACCCATCTGCAAGGGCTGCGCTCAAAGAGCCTTGGGGAGTATGGCAGGGTTAAGTACTGAAGGTGCTAGAGAAGGCAGGGAGATCAGGCAGTGTTTCATACAAACAGTGGCAATGAGGAGGCAGCATGGAAAGCTTTGGAGCCTGGGCTCTGTAGTCTGCCCGTGTTTTAGTCCAGCGCTGTCACTTGGCAGAAAACTTCCCTGTGCCTCACAGCTGCCATTTGGAAAATCAGAACAGTGTTCCCCAGGCTGCTGTAGGATTATATGAACCAGCCCAGTAAATGCATCAGCAGTATTAGCTGCTAGTGCAGTCTGACATACACTTTAGGAAGGACAGTGAGAGATAACGGAAATCTCAGACTGGAGAGCTACACTGTGAAGTTTGAATTAGGATTCAGTTTTCAATGGAAAGAAAAGTTATATAGTGTCCAGTTGTGCATTGGGATTCATTCTACCTAATGTTTAGCACAGAAAAGATGAGAGTGAAACTACAGGTGGGGAAACAGGGACCCAGTGAGAGAAAGAAGGAGCAGGTAGGAGGACACTTTGGAACTGCCATCCTCCAGGTGGGATCAGTATGTTGAGGTGAAGCCTGGGTGGTTCAGAGATGGAGAGGATGTGGGGAATCAGCTGGGATGGAGAGAAAGACACTCCATTAGCAAACACAGAGAGACTGATGCGCCGTCCTCAGGAAGCAACTTTCCTCAGTTAACGTGTGGAAATTCATCCCTGTCTTACAGGACTATTGTGAGAATTAAATCAACAAACGCCAAGCATTTTTTGCATAATAAAGCAAATATGACCATTAGTCCTCTGCTTCCTGCTGTGAAAATGCTGTCTTGCATTGTCTTTCAGTTATTTCATGTGGCTAAGCTTTAGGTTAAAGGCTAATTCATCAATGTAGAGAAATATTTTTGAAAGAAATCTGCAATATAACTTCATAACAGACATTTCTGTACATTGTACTTGTATCTATCTCATACTAAAATTTCCTGTTTTTATGTATGTGTGCCTCTGCATCTAGACCGGTGGTCAGTTTGGCCCTGCAGGACACCTGGCAATGTCAGGAGACATTTTGACTTGTCACTCTAGGTGAGGACACTACTGGCATCCAGCAGTTAAGAGGCCCAGCATCCTACAGTGCACAGCACATTATCCAACCCCACGTGTCAGTAGTGCCACGATTGGGAAACCCAACCAAGACCACCCTCAAGGACATCTTTGTATCCCTTATTTCCAGCAAGCAGAGTATTAGCTAAGTAAATAGATTGAAAAGAAGAGAAATTGAGAGGAAGTATGATTTACAAGGAAAAAAGAGACTTGGTGTAGAGTAAGTTACTTTTAAGAATTCTGGATATCCAAAGGTACTCCTCCTGTGTGAGAACTGGAAGTCTGAAGAGAGTTTGGAACAAGACAATTAGAGCCCTTCCTCCATCCAGCAGCCTTTTCTGGAATAACCACTTTGTGTAAAGCACTATGCAAGATGCTGTGGCAGCAGAAATGAGCAACACATTGACCACACATAAGAAACTTCTAGACTACAAGGAATGGAAGACACAGAAGTGAGTCTGTCACACGCAAGCCTCCAGGGAACCCAGAGGGTAGGGGGCTAGTGCAGTCTGAAGAGCTCATGGATGATGTAAGCATTGGCCAGGAACGGGAAGGATAGTAGAGATCTCAGGTAGAGGAGAAGTGAGGCTAGAAGGGAGCCCCACACAGTGGGAAAGCCTGCCTGTGCAATGGGAGAACGTGAACACGCCCTGGCTGCTGTGGCAGGAGCATCCTGTGCTGGAGGAGCAAGGGAGCGTCACCAGAAACAAAGCTGCTAAAATTCATCGTCCTGCCTGGCAAGATGTTGCACACCAGTAATTCCAACACTGAGAGGCTGAGAAAAGGATTCCGATTTTCAGTCCAGCCTGAGCAACTTACCAAGATCCTGTCTCAAAATTAAAAATGAAAGGCTGGGGACACAACTCAGTGTAAAGGCCCTGGGTTTAACCCCTAGTTGGGGGAAGGGGGTTGACTATGTTTGTGAGATAGAAGTGATTTATAGGATATTTTGACTACCCAGCATTCATTTCTCCTTTTGAGAATAATACTACTTTTTCCTCAGAGAATTGCCTCTGCTCTTGAAAGTACAGGTGTGAGAAAAAGCTAGACCTAAGAGGCTTTCTCCAAGACAACTTCCCAAGTACAAAAATTATTGAAGGAATAAAAGGCTAAAATTAACCTTTGGATTTGCATTGTCAGGTAATTCCTGTTTCCAAAACACCCAGAGCTGACTGGCTTCTCACTTCTCTAAGTCAGGTTCTCAGGCTCGCCCTTTGATTCTGTGGTCTGTAATATTTTTCCTCTAAAGTTAGGTAAGCATGTTGT